TTGGGGTGAGTATAACACGAGGCACATCTCCTGAAGCGCACATCAACCAAATACCTGTTGCAGCATATGGGCGCCTAGCAAACCTCAGAACAACATTCCGACATCTTAATAAGGAATCGTTCAGGACCCTGTACACCGTGTACGTTAGGCCCATATTGGAGTATGCGGCACCAGTTTGGAACCCACACCTAGCCAAGCACGCAAAGAAACTAGAGAAAGTGCAAAGGTTTGCAACAAGACTAGTTCCAGAGCTAAGAGGTATGTCCTACGAGGAGAGGTTAAGGGAAATCAACCTGACGACACTGGAAGACAGGAGAGATAGGGGAACATGATAACAACATACAAAATACTGAGAGGAATTGACAAGGTGGACAAAGACAGGATGTTCCAGAGATGGGACACAGCAACAAGGGGACACAGTTGGAAGTTGAAGACACAGATGAATCACAGGGATGTTAGGAAGTATTTCTTCAGCCACAGAGTAGTCAGTAAGTGGAATAGTTTGGGAAGCGATGTAGTGGAGGCAGGATCCATACATAGCTTTTAGCAGAGGTATGATAAAGCTTACGGTTCAGGGAGAGTGACCTAGTAGCGACCAGTGAAGAGGCGGGGCCAGGAATTTGGACTCGACCCCTGCAACCTCAACTAGGTGAGTACAACTAGGTGAGTACACACACACACACACACACACACACACACATACAAAAAAAATAGGCCAAGTGTGTAATCAACAAGTGCTGATGACAAAATGGTAACAAACTAACACACTCGAAGAGGTACGATCAACTCTTGGAGCAGGGAGAGAGTGGACGTAGTAGCAACGAAGCGAAGAGGCGGGGCCAGGAGCTGTGACTCGACCCCTGCAACCACAAACAGTTGAGTACTTAAAAACTAGGTATGCCGAGCATAGGCCTGGCAGCGCCGACATGCGTTAAGTCGTTAACGGGGTAGAAGGTACAGTGTTAATAAGGGCAAAAGCGTCCCAGAGTGGTTAACTACTCTATAATTTGTTCGTGATTGTAGCCATGTATAAACCTAAGTAAGTAAATTTACTTACATGATTCATTACCTTTGTAACTTGTGAGTTCATTACCTTTGTACCTAGTTCAGCTATCAAAACTTTGGGGCCCAGTCCCTGGACCCATTATATACCTCTGTAATCTGTAAATACCTTTGTAACTTGCTCTGCTATCAAAACTTTGGGGTCTAGTCCCTGGACCCACATGTACCTCTGTAATCTTTTGACTACAGGCCACAAGATGGGTATGGGGTGCATAATAATCATATTAGACTAACTAACAAGTGGTTAACAGTGTAAAGCAGTAAGGTAGCAGCAATCTCCTCTGGATCCTTCCCAGGCGGAGGAGAAGCAGTGTGACCTGACACTCCACTAGAGGGCGTCGGCCAACTTGCTGGCATCGTTCCTCCTCCGCTCTACTGCCTCAAGTAACATTTTACTCATGGGAAATCGCCCTCGTGTGTGTGTGTGTGCGTGCGCTCGTGTGGATGTATGGCTCACTTAATATTTGTATTTATAAATCATTACAATTTCGACTAGGTGTAGACGTGTCAGTGGCTCATTACTTTGTAATTTGTTCATGATTGTAACCATGTATAGAAGTATAGATGGTTCATTACCTCTGTAACTTGCCATGATTGTGACCAGATCTGCCTGGAGTTCATTACCTTTGTAACTAGTTCGACTATCATAACTTTGGGGTCCAGTCCCTGGACCTATTATGTACCTCTGTAATCTTTTGACTACCACCCACACCATGGGTCTGGTGTGCATAATAAACATATTAAACTAAATCTCAACTGCAAGCCACGGATGGCAGTACACTGGGCAGCAAAATATGCTATTTGTACGCTTTCATATGAGATATTATTATTGTTGTTGTTATTATTATTATTATTATTATTATTATTATTATTATTATTATTATTATTATTATTATTATTATTATTATTATTATTATTATATTAAACACCCTTCAACCCCTCAACGGAAATGTTTTGATGCTGGTGAGAGACGCTTGATCCACGGAACTAGATTTGCCTTCCCTACCTTCAATCAAACCAGATTGCTTCCAATTCTTAACAATTCCTTATGGGTTTCGTGCATACAGTACTATATTATATGAACGCATAAAAATATATTAACGCACTGAGTTTCTACAGCAAAAGCGAGGGATTAGAGAGTAGAGGAAGGTGTTTAATAATGGTGAACTTGGTGAGCTAGAGAAAAGAATGAGTGGAAAACTGGTTAATCCCTATCATGTATTTTAAATAGATATATCCAGAAGATATGTAAATATACAAATTTCACTAATTTAGTTAATTTAATATTTTAATTATGCGCCCCATAACCATCCTGTGGGTGGTAGTCCAAAGATTACAGAGGTTAACGCACTCGGCTCACACACTGAGGTCCGGGGGTCGACCCCCGGTACGGTTGGAAACATTAAGACATGTTTCCTTAAGACACTTGCTGTCTGTGTTCACCCATCAGTAAAATAGGTACCTGGGTGTTAGTCGACTGGTGTGGGTCGCATCCTGGGACGAAACTCTTCTGCACAACCAATTACAGTTGGTGTCCCACAGGGAAGTGTCCTTGGCCCTCTTCTCTTTCTCCTATACATAAATGACCTACCAAATGCTTCGCAATTACTCAAACCCACACTATTTGCAGATGACACTACATACGTCTTCTCCCACCCGAGCCCAGTCACGGTAGCCAATACTGTAAATACCGAATTACAGAAAATATCTACCTGGATGAGGACTAACAAACTTACACTAAACATTGACAAAACCTACTTCATTCAGTTTGGTAACAGAGCTACAGATGTCCCTCTTAACATAATGATAAACGGATCACCTATCACAAAGCTAACAGAGGGAAAATTCTTAGGAATCCACCTTGATAATAGACTCAAATTTCATACACATATACAACAAATTTCTAAGAAAATTTCCAAGACTGTAGGCATACTATCGAAGATACGGTACTATGCTCCACAGTCAGCCCTCCTGGCCCTATATCACTCTCTTATTTACCCCTATCTCACCTATGGAATTTGTGCATGGGGCTCAACAACAAGTAACCATCTCAGACCACTAATTACCCAACAAAAGGCTGCAGTTAGAATGATAACAAATTCTCACTACAGGCAGCACACTCCACCAATATTCAATACACTCAACCTACTCACCATACAAAACATCCATACTTATTACTGCACCTATTACATACATAGAACACTTAACTCTGATATTAACCCTCCCCTCAAACATCTCCTTGCCAACCTCAACAGAACACATGACCATAACACAAGGCACAGATCACTCTTTGATGTTCCTCGTGTCCATCTCACGCTATGCAAAAACTCAATGCACATAAAAGGCCCTAAAATCTGGAATTCATTACCTGTAAATATAAAAGAAACACTACCTGTTTATAAATTCAAGTCTCTTCTCAAAGATCACTTACTCACCCAAAACCAAATAAATACTGAATAACTGAACCTTATAAATTGTATATCTTAAATGTTTCTCACAATTATATCACATAAATGTTAAACCTAAAACCCAATCTAACTTTATTATTTTTTAAATACACTACCTAACAGAATACTCCATTCTACTGAATTTACAACAATGCATGCAACCATATGACCTGTCTTTGTAATACTCACTTGTGCTTTATAGTAATCTGTTTACATTAATGTTTTATCACTGATTTCATCATTGCTTAGTTAATCTTAAGTTAATTTTAAGCCAGCCCGTAATGCTATGCATAGTATAAGTGGCTTTGGCATGCTGCTCTTATCTGTATTTTTTTGTACCTCTGTATGTGTGCTCAAATTGTAAATAAATAAAAAAAAAAATAAATAAACTGACATAATTTGCCCTAAATGCTCTACGTAACAAGGGATTTTCTATACAGTAGTATGTCACTGATGTCAGCTAGGCCTGTATACCTTGTACTTGTAGAAATAAAGATTATTATTATTATTATTATTATTATTATTATTATTATTATTATTATTATTATTATTATGTCCAGAGACTGGGCCGCAAAGTTTTGATAGCTAAACAAGTTTAAGTACTTTTTCCCCTCAGGGAAGGTTCTTTGATGTCAATGAAGAGGTTCTTGATCTAAGAACTTGGATCGGTCCTCCCCTTCCTCGGACTGAACATCAATGCCATTATTAAATAAGTGTCGGGGGCTCAAGACTGTTTAACTGCCTCCCAGCATACATAAAGGGGATTACCAATAGACCCCTGGCTGTCTTCAAGAAGGCACTGGACAGACACTTAAAGTCAGTACCTGACCAGCCGGGCTGTGATTCGTACGTCAGGTTGCTTGCGGACAACAGTAACAGCCTGGTTGATCAGGCCCTGATCCACCATGAGGTCTGGCCACAGACCGGGCCGCGGAGGCATTGACTCCCGAAACCTTTTCCAGTATTACCTCAGACGCTATGTGACCCTTTTGGATTTAGCGCTTCCTCATAAATGTAATAATAATAATAATAATAATAATAATAATAATACAGAGATAATGAACTATTTACATACTTATTCACTTTGTTTTGTGATCAGCTCTAAGGATTATTTCCTGTCACTGGATCATATGTTTAGTTAAAACGAGTGACACCCGAAACATCTAATTGGTCAAATAAAATAATGAGATGAGTGATAATGATGTATAAGAAGTTTGACTCACGGAATTCAGAGACAACCTACTCAGAAATGTTCAAGATATATCAAAGTATTTTACCCACAGCAGTGGTATATTACAAACCATTCTGGAAAAAATACCCTGACTTTGCTCATTGTAAAGCTATTATCTGTATTAATAACTCATCACAATTGTGATCGGGTGTAGACGTGTGACCTTTGTAACTGGACCCATTATGTACCTCTGTAATGTTTTTGACTATTGCCCACAGGATGGGTATGGGGTGCATAATAAAGATATGAAACTAACTCACCGAAAGCTGAGTTGGCAATTTCCTGAGGACTCTCGTGGTGCAGGATATCAAGGAAGGACCTGCGGCCGCAGTAAACGAGTTCATAGCGGTAGCAGTTCTTGCCCTTGAGGTAGTAGCAGTGGTCCCTGGAGGCTTGCTCCGTAGGGTGAAGGAAGAACCTGTCTGTCATCATCTGTACCAGAAAAGTGCAGTATTAGTATTACGATATACGTGTGTCAGGAGCAGCTTTAGTATTGTGGTGCTAGTAGCAGTGAAGATCGTGTTGGTTGGTAATCAGTAGACTTTAAAACGAAGCTCGTAGTCAGCTTGACAGAGAACACCGAGGAGTGGTAGGGTGTCGTCGACTTCTAGCGTAAACTGGAGTGAATGCTCGACCTGGTTGAGTATGTGTTGGAGAGCAGAAATATTGAAGCGTCTGGGAGTTATAGTGAGAATGTCTTCAACATAACAGAGCTAGGTGACTGAAGAGAGAATAATAAAGAAAATAGCTCAGCTTTGGATGTTCCACATATAGATTCCCTTGGGTAGTCCGAAAATCTGTTGAAAAAAATAATTTTGAAAAGAGTAATATATGAAACCAACACAGTTCAACACGGTCTACGCAATTGCTAGGCGGAACAGAAAGGTCGAGGGAGTAATCAGTGTTCCAGCGCAGGAGCTCAGTGGCTTGTGTTGTGAGTACCTTGGTAAATAGGGACGACAAATACAGTCGACCCTCAACTAACAGCGGCATTAAGTAACGGCAATTTCGTCTAATGGTGGTTTTTGCTGTAGAAAAAATGCCTTAACCAACGGCGAAAAACTTAACCAACGATGTCAGTACGCCATTATTTACAAGCTGTTGCGGTTGGTTTCCACGTGTGCCTCCCATACATTTTGGATTATTCCACTGTTTCTAGTGCTTGTAACTGCTAAATAAGCCACCAAGGGCCCCAAGAAAGCTTCTAGAGCCAACCCTTTGGTAAAGGATGTAAGAAAAACGATAGAATTCAAGAAAAAGTTTGTAGAAAAATACGAAAGTGGTGGTGGTAGAGGGTGGTAGTGATGGTGGTAGAGGGTGGTAGTGATGGTGGTAGAGGGTGGTAGTGATGGTGGTACAGGGTGGTAGTGGTTGTGATGGTGGCAGAGGGTGGTACTGGTTGTGATGGTGGTAGAGGGTGGTCCAGTGATTCTCAAGCTGGTCCGGCATTAAAACACCAAGAAGGGAGGTAACCCCACCAAAGGACTTGGTACCTAAAGTCTTTATGGAAGGGGATTCTCCTATCTAAGCAATAGACAATCCTGAATCTCCCCTGCTGCTGGCACATCAATGATCAACAACTCCACAATGAAGGTAAGTGGCATTTAATTGTTTTTTATATTGCATGTCCCATTCCTTTCCATATAAGGAAATGCATATTTCATGTAAAAAAAAATTTTCAGACTTTGGGGTGTCAGGAACAGATTAATTCTATTTCCATTATTTCTTATGGGGAAAATTAACTCGACCAACGGCAAGCCCTCTAGAACGGATTAAGGCCTGTGGTTGAGGGTCCACTGTATTGACGATATACTCATCATAACTCGACTCCCCAACACAAGGTAAACCAGGTCGAGCGCTCATTCCAGTTTATACATTAGAAGTCGACGACGCCGTTCCTTACCTTGATGTTTTCTCAAAGCTGACCATGAGCTTCGTTTGAAAGTCTACTGATAACCGACCAATTAACACGATCTTCTCCACTTCTACTAGCACCAGGATACCAAAACTAAATGTGGCACAATTATAGCCTTCTTCCTGCATGCCCTCTGTATCTGGACTAGTGAGTTCCTTGAGGAAGAATTCTCTTTCATCGAACAGGCATTTTCTAAGCTTCACTATCTTCGTCACTTCATTAGAGATTACAGACGCCATACACATAACACCTTCAACTCATCCTGACATGATACTGCCCAGAGAAGATATATAGTCCTCCCTGTTAACTCCATTGCCAAACACTTCTCAACATTCTTTCCAATACCGCATTCCAAGTATCTACCCCTGCATCTACTGTAGTAAACACCACCAAGTTCAATCCTCTGCAGGGGTATACATAATCCCTGTCAACGATTGCAACCAAATATAAGTGGGAAAAACTTCCAGAAACCTCCAAACACGTATTTCGGAACACCAATACGCTAGCAGAATGAACGGTTTGAAGAACGTCTGTGTTTTACACCGAAACTCCCACACCCATTTAATTAGCTTAAGAGATGCACAACTCATTGCAAGGAAATGATATAATGATTCACACCACCGGATTCTCCAACACCCAAAACATTCTTAATCATGTACTAGCCTTATGTCAGAACCTGGGGTTGATAATCTCTACTGATAAAACAAAGATACGCAATAGGCATCCTCCTCGACAGAGAGGAACAGTTCGTCAGATCCAATTGCATGATGGGTGTGGAAATTTATTTGGTCCCTAAAGTTCCACAGGACAGATACGATGTACGAAGGGGTCCCAGCATAGCTGTAATGGGACGGCTGAGCTGGGTGGCCCTTAAACCCTCCCAAACAAACAGCATTCTCTCTAGTTGGCGTGGATTGTTGGTAGGCATTTATTTAATTTATAGATTTACTCTTCAGGGAAGGAGTAGGTAGTTTTACTGTTAGTATATTAATATTAGGTTTACTAAGGCAACTGTAGATAATAATGTAGACCTAAGACCTTAACATAGGTAGTGATAGGCCGATAATGTAGGCAAACACTAGGTTAAGTTAGCTAGGGAGAACTGGCAGCCCTAGCTTGAATGACGAGGCGTGGGTCTCAAAGACACAACAGCGTCCTTCTTAAGACAGACACCAACTGGACAAGACGTGCCGGGATCAGCAGACGGCGCCCCCCCACATGTCTTCACATTTGAGACCTGGGGAAATCTGGTAGAGGCACCTCGATATACCGTAGATGACCTCCGTCAGGCCCATACAGTAAGACAAGACCTCCACTTTATCTCGTAGATTTCTGGCCAGTGTCTGGGGAGATTGTGAGTGAGTTTGATCTGTGGGCCTGTGTTGCAGCTGGCAGAGCATGCCCAGTAAGTACCAGTGTCTCAAGGCAGTCTGGAAGCTAGTGTCCGTGTCTGCATAGTTATACTAGGGGATACATACTTTCTTGGATATAGGAATTTCTGAGGTGCAGGCAGAACACTAATAATGATTGAATATTGCAGGAATTAAGGCTCCCGGTTGCATGTGGTTTCTGAGGGAAAGTCCAGAGGGGCTAAGGCTAAGCTTAGGGAAGTTGAAGATCAGGATATATGCTGCAACACCAAGTAAATTAGTCCTTTATACGTGCATGCAGGCGAGTTTCTTGCAACATCAATCATTTGTGAAAATCTGTCCTATAAGCCACTTGTGAGGCTGAGGTACCCACCTCAGAGCTCGGTGTCAACAGAGTTTGCCAGGGAAGGCGACTCACTTGGAGGCAGTCCACACAAATTTTCACAATGGGTCTCTTCTAGAATTTGTAAGCAGATACAGGTATCTAGGCTTACAAATGAAATCTTTGGAAGAAGGAAAACAAAATTCAGGCATTCACTTTCAGGTACCCCTTCAGGGATACCTAATTAATTGTCTGCTGAAGGTGAAATTGGTTGCCACTTTGAAGTCTACACTAATAAAATAAAAATATCAAAGGTCCTTAGAAACTAAAAATACACAAAACGACTAATAGCTTTTGCTTTTCCACTTACATCCACAAACTCCTTGGAAGATTCCTCGCCGAACTTCTTCTTGCCCATGTAATGTTTACGGATCCTATTAGCTATGTCGACGGGATCCTTACATGAAGTGTCCTTCAAATCAAGTAAGATGGGACCATATTTCTCCCACTGCTTGTTGAGCTGTGTTGTCAGACTGATGTCCTTCAAAATGTCTGTCACAAAATTGGACAGCCATATCACAAGTATACCTAACCTTGATGAACAATATCTTATTTGTGATTAGTAGCTGCATCATATTTCTATGTATATCATGTATTTGAATGCTCTGGCTTATGGAGACAGGACTTACCTTGAACCCTGAAGGAGCCGTCGTCTTTATTGGTGCCAAACATCCAAGGCACCTGAAGGAAGAGCTGCTTGTGGATAAGATGGTGAGGTTCATCTGGCAGGAAGGACTCCTTCCCCGCCCAAGTATCGATCACAGCACCGAAGGGCATGGGCTCCTCGTCCCACATCTGTCAACATCATACTCACTCACCAGACAAACTTGAAACTTATTTAGAATAATTTCCTGACAAGATTTTAGATTTTGCCACCGAAGTGGCTAGTTTATTGTGCACCCCATATCCATCCTGTGGACGGTAGCGCGAGAGCATATGGATACACAAAAGGCCTAGGAACTAGGCCCCAAAGGGTTAACAGGAATACATATGGATTTATATCTACATATCTATAGTTCACTTATCTGTTGCAAGCAAATTTAGGAAATTTGCTTAGTATATCTGGTATCTTATTTTCATTAATAAGATATCTTGACATGTCACATAGGTTATTATACTGTCTGTCTCTGTATTCTTCAATAAGTGGACAATTAAGCACATAGTGTTCAAGACAGTGACCATATGCCTGATCACATAATTTACATTTAGTTTGATCATCATCTGTGTGTCTCCCAAACTGCCAGAAGCACTTGTAACCAAGCCTAAGCCTGGCCACTACAACATCAGTCAGTCTGTTCACATTGCAAGTTGCTCCATAAACATACTTATCTACATTCATGTTATCATAGTGGGTTATAGATCTACTCAGGCTTCTAACTGCATTCCTATAACAATCATTTTCATTATTTGCTTCTCTCCTAATATTATTCCTAATGCTAGACACAGTTATACCAAAGTTATATTCTACATTCTCCTTCTGGGTACTCTTCTTGGCTAACATATCAACTTTATCATGAAGGAGTAATCCAATGTGTGATGGGATCCATAGCAATTGTACATTAATTCCTTTGTCCCTAATTTTTGAGTATCTATACCTGGCTTCTCCAATGAGCATGTTGTTGGAGTCATTATATGAGTCAAGAGCCTTCAATGATGACATAGAATCAGTAATGACAAGGAGGCCTAATCTGTGCAATTCAGCTGCGCAAGGAATCTCAGCACAATTTTGTGAGACCGTACACATATATCTTGGATTCGAGGACCTATTTTGGATTTGCTTTAGCCAGATATTGACTTCAGTACAAAGAGCAACTAAGAAAATTTACGGCTGTCATAGGGGTTCCACCCCAGGTACTGAGGTACAGTAAGGTAAAAAATGGCAGAACTGAAAAATTATTTATCTTGCATACATTGAAGCCCTAGATGACCATGCCATACCCCAATTTGCTCTGGTGTCTTAACAGATGACTTAAAATATTCATAATGATGGGATGAGGATCACCCTAGAAAGTTAATATACCACTTAAATACTTAACATGAGTAATGACCTCCATATAACTAGCATCAGGAACTATGTCATAAAAAGAAATATCCTCAGTGTCATAAACATGCTCAGGCAAGCCCACCCAACCTCTCATGCAGAAGCCCTCCAAGATTCTTCACAACTATTTTTAAACTGTTCCAAGTTAGCCTGGAGTATACCTGGAGGGTGTTCCGGGGGTCAACGCCCCCGCAGCCCGGTCTCTGACCAGGCCTAGCAGTGAATCAGGGCCTGATCAACCAGGCTGTTATTGCTGGCCGCACCTAAACCGACCTATGAACCACAGCCTGGCTGGTCAGGAACTGATTTTAGGTGCCTGTCCAGCTCTCTCTTGAGGACAGCCAGGGGTCTATCGGTAATCCCCTTTAGGTATGCTGGGAGGCAGCTGAGGCAGTCTTGAGCCCCTGACACTTATTGTGATGTCTTAGTGTACTCGTGGCGTCCCTGCGTTTTGCTGGGGAGATGTTGCATCACCTACCGAGTCTGTTGCTTAAGTAGGGAGTGATTTCCATGTGCAGATTTGGGACTAATCCCTGTAGGATTTTCCAAGTGTATATTATAGTGTATCTTTCTCGCCTGCGTTCCGAGGAGTACAGGTCAAAGGAATTCAACTGTTCCCAATAACTGAGATGCTTTATTGTACTTAAACGTGCAGTGACAGTTCTCTGTATACTATCCAGGCCTGCAATTTCGCCCGCCTTGAAAGGGACAGCGACATTTCGTGCACCATGGGAAACTGCCCGATTTCAAATTGCCGTGTTTTTCCTTTCCCCCAAAGAAACTACATTATATCACAGTTCAAGCTTCACCTTGAAGCTCAGCATGATACTTTAGTCACATGACATTATCTCTCCCAGACAACGTACACTGATGTCTCGCTCCACCAACTCTGGTGCAGCTGGTAGCGTTGTCGTTGTGAAACAGAGTAATTGTTCATACCTAAAACAAATGGGCCTCATAAATAATTTGACTTCCACCTTTCAAACCAAATTATTCACTATACTCCCAGCACTCAAATGTGTCTATGCACTTAAGTTTGCAACTTACTTATAAATGATGCTCTGTCATTCACAAATTCTCTAAAATCCACGAGGCACGATTGTAACATGTTTGTGTTAGAAGCTAGGAGTAGGTTTAGTTTAATATCTTTATTATGCACCCCATACCCATCCTGTGGGCGGTAGTCAAAAGATTACAGAGGTACATAATGGGTCAAGGGACTGGTAAAATAATAAAGTTACAACTTACCATTTGTGAACTAGCACACTGGACTTTACAGGGTACAACACTAACGTTAGGCAGGCACCTGACAATACCTGAGGTGCCTGGCCATAAACGTAAAAATGATGGTGTCAATAAATTTTAACTATGTTAACTGCTTATTCTCAGCCAGACACTCATATGATGCAGTGAGCAGGATTACAAGCCTACCGAATCTGTTAAAAGATGCCGGCTAAGTATATCTCCATGCTTGCCCTGCAGCTTCATTACGGCATCTTACAACAATAGCAAGACTTTCAGAAGACGGACTACGACCCAGCTAGCACTCACCGGGATACAGCAGTAGCAGCAGCAGTAGCGGGTGTCATTACCGGTGCCTCCCCAGCATCCAATACTGGCAGTGGCAGATATTGAGTGTCGAAGTGTGTGTGTGTGTGTGTGTGTATGAGGCAGAATACTGGTGATGTTCAATGCTCTACTACAACATGAACGTTCCTGTCTGTGTCAAATTGCAGGAGGCAAGGTGATAGTGCTAGACAGGGCAGTGTGTGTCCTAACGCTGACTGGCAGTAGCACCAAAGGCAGGGCTCACATGGCTGAGGGAGGTGCAGGCTATGTTCCTCTAGCTAGAGGCCTTCAAAGGCCTGGGTCTGATAAACTAGAAATCCTCTTAACACACACGCCTTTCATGTCAACTGTCCTGGGAAAGGAGCAGTGTGAAGCAAGTGACCCCTCTTCTACCCCATATTACCCTTTATCAGCACATCCGAAAAACCCTTTGTGTCTAACCTGCAAGACTGGCTTGGGAGGCACATTTCATCTACGATATTCCACACCAGAGACCCACTGCCGGCAATGAAGGAAGAACCCTTACCACATCCGCCTGGCACCCGACATTAAACCATACTTGGTACCCAGACATGTCTGGGAGATGGAAATCAAGCATCTTCTGAACGATGTACAAGAGATCTTACGACTACTACCGGCAGGTAAAGCCACTGAATGGTGGCGGTCCCTAAGAGTGGTCATTCCTGGCACAATGTAGATTTTCAACACTTACATACCTGTTGCAAAAGGAAAAAAATCATAATATATCTACGCCATTTAACATGTATCCAATGTCTCGTGCCACACTTAAAAAACAATAGCTGATGTGCACATTGAGGATTTCACCAGGTGTGCTAGATAAGCCAAGTCAACATTTGACTACGTTTATTACCCTGTGGGGAAGATACCTTAAATGCATACATGAAGTTCAGTATCGCTGTTGAAGAATTCACCAGCAAGCCTAAATGTGTGTGGATGACACCCTGCTCTATGATGACGGTGATGAGCAGTCATTCTGGTCTGCATATGACTTCCTCGGTACTTTTAGGAAGAATGGAGAAGTTTAAATCCTGCCAGCGAGAGGTGGAATCTGCAGGTTTATACCTAGGATGGGAAGGATACCGTCCCACAGGGGAAATAGGTTGGCTGCTTTCAGAAACTTCCCGATGCCGAGCCAACCCACCACAATGACATAAGGTCATGGGATGGTCAACAAGCTTTCACCATTCCTGGCCATTGCACCTGCTCTGCAACCTTTCAGTTATCTCTTGAAGTCCATGGGAAAGACAGTTTATTGGGACCAGCAGCTGCAAACAGAAGTTCAAGCATTCCAAAGACACCATCTGTCAGATGACAAAGATAGACAGACTAGTATATTACAAACAAAATCGATTAACAGCGGTGGTTACTGACTGGAGTAGAGAGGGAAGCAGGTGCATAGTACTGCAACAATACTGTCCTGGACGTCGATATGCCATTCTGCTGCCCAGGTGGCAGGCACCTGTTCCCGCTGCAAAGGAGGGAGGGGGAGCACCTTCTAGTGCGGTGCTTTACGAAGGTTTGCCTATCCCTGTTTGGCTGTCCAAACCTGATCTTAGTAACTGACCACCATCCACTTTTCAAGTTATTTGGGGACAAGGCGCCATATGATTCCGCAAACCTCAGGTTGTTTCGTTTAAATGAAATGTTTCAGATACAAGGCCCTACTACAAAGCTGTTGATAGAAAAGGTTTGGTTACTAATTTGGGAGGTTCTAACAACATGCGACCAATGATGGGAATGGCCAGCTGTCACTCTGGAACTGACATCTGAAACCTGCGTGTGTTCATAGGCTCAATAGTTTTATTGTAGGACCCAAAGAAAGGGCCACAGGTATAGTATGAATCACCACAGCTGATGGATGGCAGCCAAGTTAGCGCTACACCCAACAGACGAGGATAGCGGAGGAAAAGAAATCCAACATGATTTTAAGTCTATATATAATCGTCAGATATCATTGTATATTTTGTTTGCCTCTTAAAATCTTTCAGTTAACAGGAAATATCCTAGTGTTAATCTCATCCACTTAAAAAGGGCATTTCTCAGTTGTTGTTTGAGTTATATTTTTGATAAATATTTTTAAGAAAGAGTGAAACGACTTTGTCTTGTGTACCAAAACTGGAGAAAATCGGACAGTAAACAACGGAGTTAGAGATTTTGCCCGACGGCCCCCTTAAGATACCTGGCCAATCAGATATGTGCCTCGATCTGTAACGATGGTGTTATTGAATTCTGTGTTAATTATTTTATATCCAGGCTTCCCTACAGTGTGCACTCATTCAGGTGTGAGAAGCCCCAGATTGCTACTCAAATTCATATCTGACAAAGATTCCGAAGCCAACTCAGTCGCATTTTTATTATTTAAATAAAATACTAAACTCATGTGTCATATTCAGTACATGTACTGGAGGCGTCATTTTCCATCCGCTAATTGCGAGAAATAAAATCTGTTGCAGCTGGTGTTCCAAAATGGACCTTGAGAGGTGTTATACAGTGTCTACTCTTCTGGAGCACTAATTAATTGACTATCATCTGAAATGTTAAACGGAACATCATACTATTTTAAGTCTACACCACAGCATTATTTGCGTAATTAGTTTAAGCCATTTAGGAGATATTTATTTTCATATTGCACCCCACAAAAGAATTAAAACATTAAGTTGGATTCACTCATTAAATCATTTTTTATAGCACTATGCATATTTCTTGGCAAAGAAGAATAACTGGTGTGAGTTTCTGTGAAATGGCAGCAAGACTTTTGCTTTCCCTGAAACACCATAATTGTCTTCCTTCTTCAGCGACATGTAACCAACCTGGTTCTGAAGTGACTGATCTCATATTTTTATAGCATTTGACTGGTTGAGTTCCAGCTCCAAAACTTCTTGAGTGTGTCTATTTACAGTTCCTATGCCTCTTGGACCTTTAAGCTGAAGGTGTTAAATCTCTTAAAAGTGAGCCTCTTAAGAGGGTTCAGCTATGGTGCCTGGGCCTTTTGAAGGAGCTGAGCTGCAGCTCTTCGGCTTCTTGGGGGTTTTGAGGTATAGCTACTGAGCTTTTTGCCTGTATTGGGGTACAGATGGTTGGGGTTTTTGCGATACTTCTGGATCGTGCAGCGGCCAAAACACAGGAAGATTACTGTACCCGAGTTATAATGAGACAATGTGGTTAGCTGGTCAAGTTCCACATTATAGATTCACACACTGGGTCCAGGGGCTAGTCCCCAACACTGATGTTAGCTAAGCAAGCTGTTGCCGTATCACGTGTGCGTGTGTATATGTGACCTAATTTATGTATGCATAAATAACTCGTTACGAGTGTGACCAGATATAAACACATAAATAGTTCATTACTACTGCAACTTGTTCAGCTATCAAAACTTTGTGGCCCAGTCCCAGGACCCATTATGCACCTCTGTAATTCTTTGACTTCCCCCACAGGATGGGTATGGGGTGCACAATAATGATGTTAAACTAAAAATAATAATAATAAAAATATTTCCGTATCATGCACAGGTTTCCCAGTATCGTAGCCAGGTACGACTTGTTGTTTAGTGTATTAATACAACATAGGATATACAAGTAACTCACAGACTGAAATTAAAAACTGGTCGATGTTTCGGTCCTTTCTGAAACATTTTCAAAATGGTCCAGGACGAAACATAACACTGATTAGTTTTAATATACAGTGTGTGGGTTAGTTGTGAACTGCTGTAGCCACAATCGTGAGAATTATTCTCACTTAAAAATACGAAATTCCTTTAATTTTTTCCAGCAATACTCACAAACATGGAAGGCATCTGTTCGACGATCTTGGTGGCTGGGAGGGACCTGAGGCAGCGCAGCAGTAAATGAGAGGTGAGTGTAGGGCAACCCAGCTGGAAGCCCAACTTCAGAGCTTGAGTGCGTGGGTTCCTGACGATGGCGTGGGGGCTGTACGCCGTCCCACTCTGAGAGATGACCCGTTGAAACAACGCTGCCCACCAGAAGGAATTACTGTTTACATCAGGGCGTGTGGTATATCACTTACATTTCATAATTACAGATTATCCCTTTCAGAGTAAGGGGCTTTATGCCATGAGGGGCTCTTAAGCCAAGGAATTGAAGCTCTTCTTCCCTTCTTTGGATCAGATTTGATTTCCTACCATTTCCAAGCCCTTCATGCCCCAAAGGACTTTGTGCGTCCCTTGAATATAATAATGATAATTAAAGACTCAGTTTTTAAATCCGCGTCACTTTTCATTGTAAAAACGTAATCCAAGAATGCCAGCTTGATAATTTCACAATAATATGAAAACTTATGATAGTAAATCCAGTAGTAACAAAGATTTGGACCTAATGCCATATGAATTTAGTGTTTTTTTGGTAAAATAATATTTTAATCTAATACCACTGCAACATATAACAGTCTCTACAGCAAGAGGTCGTGGCTATGGTACACTGAAGATGTAACCAAACCTTGCGTAATACCTTGACTAACAACTATGTCAGAATGATTTATTATTTTTTTGTCAATATGTTAATAATTTATTTTTTTTTATTATCACACTGGCCGATTCCCACCAAGGCAGGGTGGCCCGAAAAAGAAAAACTTTCACCATCATTCACTCCATCACTGTCTTGCCAGAAGGGTGCTTTACACTACAGTTTTTAAACTGCAACATTAACACCCCTCCTTCAGAGTGCAGGCACTGTACTTCCCATCTCCAGGACTCAAGTCCGGCCTGCCGGTTTCCCTGAACCCCTTCATAAATGTTACTTTGCTCACACTCCAACAGTACGTCAAGTATTAAAAGCCATTTGTCTCCATTCACTCCTATCAAACACGCTCACGCACGCCTGCTGGAAGTCCAAGCCCCTCGCACACAAAACCTCCTTTACCCCCTCCCTCCAACCTTTCCTAGGCCGACCCCTACCCCGCCTTCCTTCCACTACAGACTGATACACTCTTGAAGTCATTCTGTTTCGCTCCATTCTCTCTACATGTCCGAACCACCTCAACAACCCTTCCTCAGCCCTCTGGACAACAGTTTTGGTAATCCCGCACCTCCTCCTAACTTCCAAACTACGAATTCTCTGCATTATATTCACACCACACATTGCCCTCAGACATGACATCTCCACTGCCTCCAGCCTTCTCCTCGCTGCAACATTCATCACCCATGCTTCACACCCATATAAGAGTGTTGGTAAAACTATACTCTCATACATTCCCCTCTTTACCTCCAAGGACAAAGTTCTTTGTCTCCACAGGCTCCTAAGTGCACCACTCACCATTTTTCCCTCATCAATTCTATGATTCACCTCATCCTTCATAGACCCATCCGCTGACACGTCCACTCCCAAATATCAGGAATACATTCACCTCCTCCATACTCTCTCCCTCCAATCTGATATCCAATCTTTCATCACCTAATATTTTTGTTATCCTCATAACCTTACTCTTTCCTGTATTCACTTTTAATTTTCTTCTTTTGCACACCCTACCAAATTCATCCACCAATCTCTTCAACTTCTCTTCAGAATCTCCCAAGAGCACAGTGTCATCAGCAAAGAGCAACTGTGACAACTCCCACTTTATGTGTGATTCCTTATCTTTTAACTCCACGCCTCTTGCCAAGACCCTCGCATTTACTTCTCTTACAACCCCATCTATAAATATATTAAACAATCACGGTGACATCACACATCCCTGTCAAAGGCCTACTTTTACTGGGAAATAATTTCCCTCTTTCCTATGTACTCTAACTTGAGCCTCACTATCCTCGTAAAAACTCTTCACTGCTTTCAGTAACCTACCTCCTACACCATACACCTGCAACATCTGCCACATTGCCCCCTATCCACCCTGTCATACGCCTTTTCCAAATCCATAAATGCCACAAAGACCTCTTTAGCCTTATCTAAATACTGTTCACTTATATGTTTCACTGTAAACACTTGGTCCACACACCCCCTACCTTTCCTAAAGCCTCCTTGTTCATCTGCTATCCTATTCTCAGTCTTACTTTTAATTCTTTCAATAATAACTCTACCATACACTTTACCAGGTATACTCAACAGACTTATCCCCCTATAATTTTTGCACTCTCTATTGTCCCCTTTGCCTTTATACAAAGGAACTAATAATTTATATATATATATATATATATATATATATAATATAATATATATATATAATATATTATATAATATAAATATATATATATATATTTTATATGCAATAAGATCACAGTAAACAGGTGATTTCAGAATATGCAAAACAACTACTGTGAAAGAATAGAGAAGTTCCAAGCGCTTTCGTGACTACTCACATTATCAAGGAACAATGAAAGTAAAGCATCAAAGGAAGGTATATAAAGGGGTAGCCCACACCTCACTATCAGATCCCACAACAAAGCAATACCTGACACGCGACTCATAAGAAAGAGAACATTGCAGCAGGTCCGCTGTCCCAACTAGACAGGTCCTTCACACAACCCACCAACACACTATTCTACCCAAGAATTAATAATTTTAAATTTTATTATTTGTCCAATGTATTTTTAAATTCTTCCCAAATTCTATTAATTATAAATGGATCTAATTTATATAAACCAAAGGAAATATTCATATTATTGTCAAAACTGCTTTATATATATATATATATATATATATATATATATAATATAATATATATATATATATATATATATATATAATATATAAAATCCAGTCCATTCCTAACTATGACTTAAACTCCAAAGCTTCTGGTGAGGATTTCATTGAGGAGTCGAGAGGCTGCAAGAGCAGCAAGCATTATTTTCTTAAGATCGTCACACTGAGATCCTTGAACAAGAAAACGACACTTTATGGGTCTTTAATAATTATGACGAACCTGTAACCCAATTCATTAAAGAAAACAACAACACCTTGACCCCAGTGATCTAAGTTCTAAAATGGTACCTGAAGTGTTACTGATGACTCAAGTCCTCGTACCTATTGGGTTTATCTGTTTCCTGTGACTTTTTAGCATAAAAATCAAAAAGTTAATTGCACGGAGAAATGTAAGAGACACTGAGTTAAATGTACCGGAGTGAATCACTTCTGAAAACGATGGAAACATAGTGCTAGAGATTAATGATAAAATCGCATTTGTCAAAGGGATGGAAACTACTTACAGAAGTCATCAGGGTAAATGGTGGCTCCTCTGGTGGTGGGGGAGAGAGTGAGGAGGTGAGCACTGATGCCACCAGCACCAGAACCCATCACAGTCACGGAGTCGTTCATGCCACCGAAATAACGCACGTTATTCCTCACCCACTCCAGCGCCCGCACCTGGTCCAACAGCCCGTAGTTACCCGGACTCTCACCGTCCTCCGTCGACAGGAACCCTTCGTACCAGAACAAAATTATGATCTACACTGCCGCAAGACTGTAGTGCTACGTATGGTGGGAAGAATCAGTTAACTATTCATATGTCCCATATCATAAAAATCTTTGAAAGGGTTCTAAAAAGCAAGAGTGACACCCATCTAGATATCGATCAGTTACACAACCCAGGGCAACAACAACAACAACAACAATAATAATAATAATAATAACAATAATATTTATTTACTACAAGTACATGTACAAGGTATACAGTTCTAGCTGACATCAATGACATACTACTATATATAAAGCCGCTTGTTATGCTGAGCATTTCGGGCAATTAGGTCAGTTTTGTACCAGGATGAGACCCACACCAGTCGACTAGCACCCAGGTACCCATTATTAATGATGGGTGAACAGGGACACCAGGTGTCTTATGGAAACACGTCCCTAATGTTTTCCAGCCGTACCGGAGATTCGAACTCCGGACTTCAGTGTGTGTGAATTGAGTGCGCTAGCGATCGAGTTACGGGTTTAGAGCAGACAGTTCCTGCTTGTCTTAACTACTGGACCACTATGACAAGGTCTTGGATGCTCTGGAGGACAAACAAAATGCGGATGTGGTATCCATGGAGTATACCTGAAGCAGGTTCCGGGAGTCAACGCCTCCACGGCCTGGTCTGTGACCAGGCCTTATGGTGGATCAGGACCTGATCAACCAGGCTGTTACTGTTGAGCGCACATAAATCAACGTACGAAACACAGCCCAGCTGGTCAGGTACTGACTCTAGATGCCTGTCCAGTGCCTTCTTGAAGACAGCCAGGGGTCTATTGGTAATCCCTCTTATGTATGCTGGGAGGCAGTTGAACAGTCTTGGGCCCCTGACACTTATTGTGTTGTCTGTTATCGTGCTAATGGCGCCCCTGCTTTTCAGTCGGGGGGGGGGAAGGATGTTGCATCGCCTGCCGAGTCTTTTGCTTTCGTAGGGAGTGATTTTCATGTGCAAGTTTGGTACTAATCCCTCTAGGATTTTCCAAGTTTACATATCATGTATCTCTCCCGCCTGCATTCCAGGGAGTAGAGGTCGAGGAACTTCAACCGTTCCCAGTAATTTAGGTGTTTTATCGTACTTATGTGTGCCGTGAAGGTTCTCTGTACATTTTCTAAGTCAGCAAGTTCACCTGCCTGGAAAGGCGCTACACACATTTTGTGAAAGCCTTCGACCATGTTGTAAAAGTATACAAAATGTGTGATAAAGGAATAACATGAAAAGTTGGTAGAGGGATCTATAACTTCCTATTAGAATACAAAGAGTAATAGTAAACAGAGTAAAATCTGAGGCGGCTACAGTGAAAAGCTGTGTTCCACAAGGCACAGTACTCGCTCCCATCCTGTTCTCCATCCTCGTATCAGACAGAGATGTAAGCCACAGCACTATGTCTTCCTCTCCGGATGACACCCGAATTTGCATGACAGTGTCAGCCATCGAAGACACTGCTAGACTCCAACCGGAGATCAACTAAATCTTTAAATGGGCTGCGGAAAACAATACGAGGTTCAATTAAGAGAAATTTCAATTACACCGATATCCAAAACTTGAGGAAATTAAAACTATATCGGAGTATAAAACAAATTCCAACTACACAGTTGAGCAAAAAACTATTGTGAAGGACCTGTGAGTGATAATGTAAGAGGACCAAACTTTCAGAGATCACAACAATGTATCTACCATATCTACTAGAAAAAATAACAGGATGGGTGGATAATGAGACCCTTTAAAACTAGGGATGCCAAGCCCATGATGATTCTCATCAAATCGCTTGTTTTCTCTAGGCTGGAATATTGCTGTACAATAACGTCTCCTTTCAAGGCAGGCGTAATTGCATAACTGGAGAATATACAAAGAACTTTCACGGCACGTGTGAGTACGATAAAACACGTAAATTACTGGGAATGGTTAAAGTCCCTTGACTTGTATTCCCTGGAAAGTAGGCGAGATACATGATAATATATACCTGGAAAATCCTAGAGGGATCAATACCAAATTTGCACATGAAAATCGCTCCCTATGAAAGCAAAACACTCGACAGAAGATGAAGATTGGCGGAAGGCAGAGAAGACCGCAGACGGAGTACAGACTAAGGGGCCAGAGACTACAAGCCTCACTCAAGAAAAAGGACCTTGGGATGAGTATAACACCGCGCACATCTGTGGAGCACATCAATCAAATAACTGCTGCAGCATATGGGCGCTTTTGAAAACCTAAGAATAGCATTCTGACATCTCAATAAGGAATCGTTCAGGACCCTGTACACAGTGTATGTCAGGCCTATATTGGAGTATGCAGCACCAGTTTGGAACCCACACCTGGCCAAACACGTAAGGAAATTAGGAAAAGTGCTAAGGTTTGCAACAAGAATAGTCCCGAAGCTAAGGCGAATGTCCTACGAGGAGAGGTTAAGGGAAATTGACCTGACGACACTGGAGGACAGGAGAGATAGGGGGTATATGATAACGATATATAAAATACTGAGAGGAATCGACAAGGTGGACAGAGATGGGACACAGCAACAAGGGGTCACAGTTGGAAGCTGAAGACTCAGATGAATCACAGGGATGTTAGGAAGTATTTCTTCAGTCACAGAGTTGCCAGGAAATGGAATAGTCTGGGAAGTGATGTAGTGAAGGCAGGTACCATACATAGGTTTAAGAAGAGGTATGAGACAGTGAATGGAGCAGGAAGAGTGACCTAGTAGCGACCAGTGAGGAGGCGGGGCCAGGAGCTCTGAATCGACCCCTGCAACCACAGCTAGGTGAGTACACATACACACACACACACACTCACACGCTTCACTCTGGAGGTCCCAAGGTGGTAATAGCAGTGATGTATAACCCACCACAGAACAGCAGGAGGCCAAGGCAAGAGTACGACGAGAGCAATAGAGCGATGGTTGACACACTGGCTAGAGTGGTCAGAAGAGCTCATGCATGCAGGGCAAAGCTCCTGATCATGGGTGACTTTAACCACAAGGAGATCGATTGGGAGAACTTGGAGCCACATGGGGGCCAAGATACATGGAGGGCTAAGATGATGGAGGTGGTACTGGAAAACTTCATGTGCCAACACGTAAGGGACACTACAAGAGAGAGAGGAGAGGATGAACCAGCATGGCTGGACTTAGTATTCACCTTGAGTAGTGCAGATATTGAGGACATCACATATGAAAGACCCCTTGGGGCAAGTGACCATGTGGTTTTAAGCTTCGAATACACAGTAGAGCTACAAGTGGAGGGAGAAGCAGGAAGGCCAGGACGAATGAAGCCAAACTACAAGAAAGGGGACTACACAGGAATGAGGAACTTCCTGAACGGGGTTCAGTGGGACAGAGAACTGGCAGGGAAGCCAGTTAATGAGATGATGGAATATGTAGCAACAAAATGCAAGGAGGCTGAGGAGAGGTTTGTACCCAAGGGTAACAGGAATAATGAAAAAGCCAGGATGAGCCCATGGTTTACCCAAAGGTGCAGGGAGGCAAAAACCAATTGTGCGAGGGAATGGAAGAAATATAGAAGGCAAAGGACCCAGGAGAATAAGGAGAGCAGTCGTAGAGCCAGAAACGAATATGCACAGATAAGAAGGGAGGCCCAAAGACAATATGAAAACGACATAGCAGCAAAAGCCGAATCTGACCCGAAACTGTTGTACAGCCACATCAGGAGGAAAACAACAGTCAAGGACCAGGTAATCAGGCTAAGGAAGGAAGGAGGAGAGACAACAAGAAATGACCGTGAAGTATGTGAGGAACTCAACAAGAGATTCAAAGAAGTGTTCACAGAGGAGACAGAAGGGGCTCCAGAAAGACGGAGAGGTGGGGCACACCACCATGTGCTGGACATAGTGCACACAACCGAGGAAGAAGTGAAGAGGCTTCTGAGTGAGCTAGATACCTCAAAGGCAATGGGGCCAGATAACATCTCCCCATGGGTATTGAGAGAGGGAGCAGAGGCACTATGTGTACCCCTAACAACAATATTCAATACATCTATTGAAACAGGGAGATTGCCTGAGGCATGGAAGACAGCAAATGTAGTCCCAATCTTTAAAAAGGGAGACAGACGTGAAGCATTAAACTACAGACCAGTGTCACTGACATGTATAGTATGCAAAATCATGGAGAAGATTATCAGGAGAAGAGTGGTGGAACACCTAGAAATGAACGATCTCATCAACAGCAGCCAACATGGTTTCAGGGACGGGAAATCCTGTGTCAGAAACCTACTGGAGTTCTATGACATGGTGACAGCAGTAAGACAAGAGAGAGAGGGGTGGGTGGATTGCATTTTCTTGGACTGCAAGAAGGCGTTTGACACAGTTCCACACAAGAGATTGGTGCAAAAACTGGAGGACCAAGCAGGGATAACAGGGAAGGCACTACAATGGATCAGGGAATACTTGTCAGGAAGACAGCAGCGAGTCATGGTACGTGGCGAGGTGTCAGAGTGGGCACCTGTGACCAGCGGGGTCCCACAGGGGCCAGTCCTAGGACCAGTGCTGTTTCTGGTATTTGTGAACGACATGACGGAAGGAATAGACTCTGAGGTGTCCCTGTTTGCAGATGACGTGAAGTTGATGAGAAGAATTCACTCGATCGAAGACCAGGCAGAACTACAAAGGGATCTGGACAGGCTGCAGACCTGGTCCAGCAATTGGCTCCTGGAGTTCAATCCCACCAAGTGCAAAGTCATGAAGATTGGGGAAGGGCAAAGAAGACCGCAGACTGAGTACAGTCTAGGGGGCCAGAGACTACAAACCTCACTCAAGGAAAAAGATCTTGGGGTGAGTATAACACCAGGCACATCTCCTGAAGCGCACATCAACCAAATAACTGCTGCAGCATATGGGCGCCTAGCAAACCTCAGAACAGCATTCCGACATCTTAATAAGGAATCATTCAGGACCCTGTACACCGTGTACGTTAGGCCCATATTGGAGTATGCGGCACCAGTTTGGAACCCACA